ATATATATATGACGAAGAACACCATCTATATGAAGCGAAATATGTAATATTTGAAGAGATCTTCGATGATCATCGCGCAATAAACGATTAAAGGTAATTGTTAAGACAGTTAGCTCTTTTTATATTCGAGGAAATTGTCTTGTTATATTTATAAAAAGACATAATTTCAGAAACACACGTTACAGGCTCACTCACAGGATGTTCGCGAATGTACTTCTCTGTGGCTATCCGATTGGCGTATTCGACAACCTGTTGAATCATTTCCGTCGTTTCGGACGGCAGAATTGTATGCACCTCGTATATCAGGAATTGTATGTTCGGCCTAGTCAGCGCGTACTTGAGGGTGGCAAACTGTTCGGCGAGTAGAGCGCGGGGCTGCTTTGTCTCACCCGCCAAATCATTAGTTAACGATTCCAACAGGCCGGTGTCACCGCCGCGCGCGACAGCGAGATCGACGATGTCCCGGATGCCGGTGTAGCTGCACGGGGGAGTCGCTAGAACGACGGTCGCTCTTTCCAATTCGATGGATGTTGGTGGCGATATATATCTAACGATGAACAAGAGATGAAAGAACTCGGATCGTGATAAAAATTCGTGATAAAAAAAAACATTCTTTCTCCATTACTTTTCGGAGAAAACTCTACATTGTTGCAGAGTAACACCCAGGGTCCCGAGGTAAGCCTCGTAGTCGCAGCGACGGTCCCCAGCGCCAAAGACTAACAGTCTCCCGGCGTCCTCGATGTCGGCCAGGAGTCCCGCCAAATAGCCCGTATGACGGGGAGCAATCGAATGTGTGAGGATCACGGGACCGCAGAGACGCGCGACGCGTATCGCTTGCGCCAGTGTGGCCGCTCCGAGACACAACGATCTGTCCTAAATGTATCTCTGCATTTGTTTCTTATATTCGATATCGGTAATTCCAAGTAGCGGCGATTATATTTACCAGAAAGATGAACCGATGGCTGCGAACCAGATCGGACACGGCGAGTCTCTCTCGGGCCTTGTCGTGCAAATTAATCATTTTCGGGCAAATCGGATCGAAGACGTAGTCGCTCTCGTTGAGCTCTGCGGCTCTAATATCGTCGCAGAGTTGGAGTTTTAGCCGCGACATGTCTTTGATAAATTCATCCTTATCGGCTACTCTCATGGTGTTGATCCATCCGGAAGCAATCGCGCCTTCGTCGGACCAGTTTACCCCTTCGGCGGTACGCAAGTGCGTCGGAAGGAGTTCGTCTGAATAAATAGGACAGATAATACGAAGATGCATAAATATATCAGTTGGCAACACGCTTGATATCTTGCAAACAGCCTTACTACGTTGTACGAAAGCAACAAATTTGTGCTAATTGAAAATTAGAAATAACCAAGACTGAGGGCCGAACCGCCGATACGGAGACGTGAAATGCTTGCCGCCAGATGGGTCTTTGCCGTCAAAAGAGCGTCCTCGATATCTTTTAGTCCGAAAGTCTGAAAAAGCATAGATAAAGCTGTCATAACTATATGTAACACACGTCACTCATCTTCTTTATCGGAGAACCTTTGCACTCTTTTTGGCATGCGTTAAAAAATTGGCTTCAACAAGAATATTATTTTCTGTAATACGAGATTATTATCTGTTTGTGTTTTAAAACAAAGCCTTTAAAGTAAATGTAAATGTGATCCATTTATTTTACTGGCGTTGTGTCACAAATATCAAAACGAACAAAAGTGCACAAAGGATTTAAGGGCCCAGTCTACTTTAGAGGGTAAAAAAAATCGACTTTTTTATGTTTTCCGAAAATATGATGTTTAGAAAATATATCTTTGGAGAATATATCAAATTTTATTGAAAAATTCGTAAAATTGAGTTATAAAATGGAATTATAAGACTTTGGAAAAATGACGGGCGGGATGAGAAATGGGCCTGCAAAACTTGAAACGCTTTTTCTTTCAAAAAACTGTTATCAAAGTTGGTGTAACAGATATTTTGAAAACTAATGGATCAAATAACTTCAATTTTTTTTTTTTAAATAAAAAGGAACATTTTTTGGTTTGGATACTGAACCTAATTAGAATTGAAATAATAAATATTTTATAAGAAATTAATAAATTTCAGCAAAATTGAAATATCTAATTTTAAAATGGCATTACTTTGTTATTTTCAATTTTCTCTAATGAAATTAGGTTTGGTGTACTCCATAAATATCCTACAGAATAAAACTAGACCGAGTTTTTTTTTTTCATTTCAGATAATTACACAAAAAGTAGTATATCACACCGTCGAACTATGTATTTTCGAACATACTACGCGCAGCGGCTCGTATTGAAGAAAAATTGAAACTAAATGTCCTAGTTTAAAAATACTGGCGTACTGTTTAAACATCAATAAAAAGGTAAAAATTTAATATTCTTAAAAAAAATCATCAATTTTTCATATTGCTAGAGTAGACTGGGCCTTCAATGACGAGAACGGAACAAGTGTGATCGCCGAGAAAAATGAATAAACCTTAAATATCCTGTTTCGAATCTCAAGTGCGTTTCCATCGCGCCGGCGTGCAAATTTTCTTCCCTGCATATCGTACAATAATAACCAGACCACCTTCTCTCGTTGTTTCAGAGCAGAATTTTCGTGCCAAAATCCACCGTGTTCGAGAGCACGGTTTAAAATATTCTTGTCTGTAAAGTTTGCAACATGATTGGGATACCACGTATATATTACACAATTATTATGAAGCCATTTGATTTGCTTTCTTTTCGTATGCGGGAATATCATATGAAGATGTACACAGAGATGATTAGATGGAAAAAGCATTCTTCAATCTTGGATAGAAAAATTTTTATTCGAGAAGGAGGAAACTCTTTTCGTCTACGTTTATATTCGAAAACTATATCTCACATCTCAGAACGTCGTATACTAAACCGAAGACCCGTCTCATCTCAGCTTCATTGGCATAACTCGGAGAGGGTCGCGCATTCTGGAGAACCTTGGCAGCCAGTACGATGTCGTTGACACGCCAACCCGGCTCCACGCAAACCTCCGTCATAGAACCACCGATACCCGAGATGGCTTTCAAAGAAGCAACAATATCCTGACTTTTTTCTTTCCTTCCCTTAGGGACATGTCCTTTCTCCCTGGGACACCATTCCCAATCCTGCAAATTCTTCCGGTTCATATGCCGTTTAGAATCCTGCGTCCTGAAAAAAAAATTTGCGTATGATCTTTTAGCAAATTAAAATTCTTATTATATAGCGAATACGATTACACGATGCTTTTGAACATTTTACAGGGTATATGTAACTTGAGCCACTTCGGGACTAATGCGGAGGATGTTCATTTTTCAGAAATACATTCACGACTTGTCAGATGCGAATATAAAGTGAAAGAATCGCGGGGACATTATAAAATTACATTGTAAAATTAATTATTAAATATGGATTGTGTACACGATTTTCGCATATCCTTCAATCGACATCCTCGATGTCATCGAGAAAAGTATATGAGAATACGAGAAGCCTGCAAATTCGTGATTCAAGAGAAATATTCATTTGTTCTAAAGCAATTGCGATCCGCTTCACGATTAATTATTCTATTAATTATCATACCTCTATGGTTGTAATTTGTAATCCATATATTATATTCTTATAAGTAACTATCTTATATTTTTTCCACAAACTTGATTGTATATCATCTGTTACCGTAAATTTTATTATTAATTGTTTATTATGCTGATAATTATATAAAATTAACAATATAGATGGTTAATTTAATAAATTTCATCAATATAATCATTTATACCGGTAATTTTACATAATTACCAAAGTAGCTTAGAAAAATAATAAAACTATAAATTACAAAGTTCATTCACAGTTATTTATAATATAAATAATAATATATATTATATTAAAAAGATATATATACTTAATTAGTATATATGTGTATATATATATAAGTATACTCCCTCTGTGTGTGTGTGTGCACACATCACAAACTTACATTTATTATACCTTTACTTTTAATTTTGGAATTAGAGATTATATTTATTATCGGTAAATGTGATAAATTGAATAAAAATCATACAAATTTAATAAGTTTATCAAAATCATATTGGTAATTATATCAATTGCCAAATTAATGAAAAATTTACAGTAATTAACATAATATATATTATCTATGCCACTCGTAGCACACCTTCGTTCGTGTTTAAACATCCCTAATTAGATTTAGATTATTAACAAGATTTTTCACTTGTATCGTAAAGAATAATATCGCTGATATTTCCAAGCTTACCTTTTATCCTCGGTTTCAGCGTCCTTTTCTCTTTGTAACTCGACGAGACTGTGATAAACTCGGTGACGCCACTCTTCATTGCTTGGCAATATCAACTTTTCGAGTTCCCTGTCGCGCAGCTCGTTGCTGAGAAGACCGAAATTCGATATCTGCGTCGTAAGAAGGAGCCGAAATATCTTTGCATAGAGCGTGAATATACTAGTTTTACGTGCATCGACCTCGACGTCGATTTTGACGTCATCGGAAGATTTTCCCGATTCCGATGACTGATCTGACGGATCGTCAATTGTCATTGCGCTTCTAGAAATCGTCGCACGACGAGAAATAACAGTTTGAAAAAACGAAATATGCGAAAGACTGTATAGCAAAAAGATGGAAGGACACTTTAATAAGGAAGGGAAAACACAGTTTTATAAAGTGTCAACAAGAGGTAAAATCGCTGAGACACGCGACTTAATCATGCACAGATCGTTTTGCGCATCACACGTACGCGACTCACACTTGTATGCGTTGTCACTTCCTTCCACCTTCCACCTTCCACCTTCCACCTTCCACCTTCCACCTTCCACCTTCCACTTTCCACTGCCGAGCCGGTGAGCCGGGATCAGGACGAGGACCAAGAACTTGGGACGTGCCGGGACGAGACCTCGTTCTGGCATCACTGCACTCGCTGCCGTCGTCCTTCCTTGTCCTTCCTGTAGCCGGGCTGTCGGGCAATCGTCGGGGCGGAGAGTCAAGAGAAGACTGAAAACTGAAGACTGATGAAGACACCGAGGAGACTAAATCGTGTCGCGCGACATCGCGTGCTTCCGAAGCGTATCCCGCGAAATTGCATCTTGGACTCTCATCAGCGACGAAGCGATTTTGGATACTTTTTAGTCAGTAAGAATAAGTTAACATATACCAAGCACATTTTTTTGTGTCTGCTGCTTGCTTATTAGTATTAGAACAAACTAGTTTTGCAACTATCGAAACCAAGTAAAATTATTATATATTGAGACAGATAGTAAAAAGTTGAATTTAATAAATAATAATCTCAAGAAATGAAGAATACATATTAATTGCGCTATGCATGACCGAATATAAGATTTGAAATATTTTTCTCAGGAACATTGAATGTACATATATTTAAATCGTCGGGGCGGAGAGTCAAGAGAAGACTGAAAACTGAAGACTGATGAAGACACCGAGGAGACTAAATCGTGTCGCGCGACATCGCGTGCTTCCGAAGCGTATCCCGCGAAATTGCATCTTGGACTCTCATCAGCGACGAAGCGATTTTGGATACTTTTTAGTCAGTAAGAATAAGTTAACATATACCAAGCACATTTTTTTGTGTCTGCTGCTTGCTTATTAGTATTAGAACAAACTAGTTTTGCAACTATCGAAACCAAGTAAAATTATTATATATTGAGACAGATAGTAAAAAGTTGAATTTAATAAATAATAATCTCAAGAAATGAAGAATACATATTAATTGCGCTATGCATGACCGAATATAAGATTTGAAATATTTTTCTCAGGAACATTGAATGTACATATATTTTGTATATTTTTCTCTTTTTTACATTCTATAATTAAACGTTTTAAAAGGTTTATTAAAATGTAGATATTAATGTCGTATATAATTTATCTGCGCCAAATTAAAATTGTGCGGAAAATTAAATATATTTATACATATATTATCATAGTGTAAAGAAAGAACATGATATATAACTAAAAAATATAATATGAAAACGCAAATAACTTATTTTCATGCTCTCTATTCGATACCATGTTAATTTCATTGTATTATTAATCTCAATTTATATAGATATTAGCATAGAAAGAGATTGCAAGTGAAACGTGATGCGAGTAATCGATGTTATTACAATTGATATAAAGAGAAAGAAAAATATAAAACGTGAGAAAAAAAATAAAAGTATATGGGATTCTAAAATTATCTCTACGCTAGCTAGCGTGCATTATCGATATGCAGCTATTTACGTATTTACTACAGTATCAGGCGATATTCATATCGATAATGATCCATATCGAATTGCGTCTCGTGCACGAACGCAAAATGCACTTTCGTCGAACAAAATGAAAGACAATAGATAGAGATAGCTATCACGTATGTGTGCCCGATCGATCATCTTGGAGTTTGGAGCGACGGCGGCAGGTACGATCGTGTTGACACAATTCCGTAAGCATAAGCAGTCAACACTCACGTTACATTCACACATTAACATCGAATTTATTTTAGTAATATTTTTTTATTTCAAATTACTTTCTACTTTATAACAATTTTTATATACTTTAATCTTTTACCATATTCTCTTTTCATCTTGCATATGATAAAAAATACAATTTAATACATTTTAGAGATTGATCATATGTAATTGTTCTTTCGCATATTTTGTAAGCAGAGTAGACTTGTATATGTATATAAAAGACAATATATAATATGTAGTTAAAATATTTATTAATAAAAATATATTCACAGTTTGTATACAAAAACATCGATATAGAGTTAAAAATTATATGTGTGTGTGATAAATATTATTTATAAAATATAGTATATTACAAGTATACATATAAAAGGCACGTTATTTAAGATTTACAATGTGTATATTTTGTTTTAGCTTTATCTTTTTACTTTGTTTGTTTGATTAAAACAAATATATAATATTTACATGTATTCATATCTTAGAGGATGGAGAAAATAAGAAAATAATGTGGTAAAATGTAGAAAGCACAATTAAAAATCTACATTAAACACAGTATAAATAACTCTTTAATGGCAGTCATATCGCAATTGTTAGCATATATAATTATATTATTAACCTTAATAAGGTATGGTTTATAGAACCCCCAAATCGAATGCCACACACATACCTTTTATTAATTTATCCCCTTATATTTTGTGAAGAGATTGTATAATACGCGAAGGATAGATTTCAGATCCAAATTTACGATATCTGTAATAGAAGTAATTTAAGAGATTTAAAAATCAGAAAAATATTAATCAAATTTTCTCACTATTTGTGCGGTTAGAAATTACAAACCTTCAGGACGAGCTTTGGGTTTCGGTAGTCCAATGTCTTGCATAATATCAAACGCAAATGAAACATTATGAACTTTCTGATCAATGGTCTTTGGTGTCAAATGAAAGCTACCTAATGGGACAAAAAAGCCTTCTAAAAGACCAAGTAGCAGAGTCAGGAAGACACCATCGTGGAATTGAGTATCCAAATCAGTCACCTCCAAATGTACCTTGCTCAAGTGTTTATTTACGAATGTTACCAAAGACTATAAAAAAAAAAAAAAAGTTAGAAGATTAACAACATAACAAAATCAATGTAATTACAAAAATGCAAAAAAAGAAAATGACAAAAATCACAACATGAGAGGCTAATTGATAAGCTTACTTTCTTCACAACAGCCAATTTATCGGGTGCATGATCGAAAAGAGTATCGAATGCGTCGCGTTCGCAACGCATACCCAAATCGTCATACGTTGTCGTTAATTCTTCTCTAACCGTTCTGTGTATAAGCTGGCCATCCTTTTTACGTACCACAACTACTTCTGCGGTAACTCTTTCTGGTAATCTAACAGGAGCGCGAAATAGCCGAGCTAGGCTAACTAGTAGATGCAAAATTGCGACGATATTCTTCGAATGTATAGATTCGACACTCCATTTGTAAGGCGGATATCGGCCTAATACCCGATTAGCGGCGGACAAGACAACAGTGAGTTTTTGTTTCTGTCCTTCCTCGGATTGAGTTACTTCAGGTACATCCAGTTTCTCTCCGGTCAATTTTTCTATATTTTTTACAAATAAACAAAAGTTGTGATTGCTTTTATTCTGTTACAGAGAAACTCTTTTGGAATTTTTCTACATTCCAAACTGTACACATTCATATACCTAAAAGTTTTTGCAGCACTTGTCCATCGTAAAGATCTTCCACAATATCCTTTACAATAATTCGCTGATCAGCCAATTCATCATTGATCCATTCGATTAAAACAGATATCAATTCCTGTAATTTGGGATCTTCCAAAGATTTCGGTTCTATCATGGAACGTTCTTCGTTCTCGTCAAGAGCATACTCCTCTGGTGGCATATCGGGATTAGCAGCGTATCCAGGTGAATCAATCGCATATTTTCCTTCTTCCTGGACATCTTGTACTAAAAATGTCATATCCTTGTTATATAGTTTTGAAGAGTATTTCTTAATCTCGAATATTTAAAGTAATTGAATAAAATTCAATTACAATATATCAGTTTAAGAAGAGGATATGCATTGAAATGAAAAATTTATTGTTTGCAAACAGATTCAATTCGTAAAATGACACGTCTCGCTCCATATAAGGATATATGTTTCGTTGAACAGCAATGTTACGAAGTTTGTGAATAAATTTCGCGTTATATATATATATATATATATATACTTGAATATCACGAAAGCTAAAGGGTACCTTCCTTAATACGTTTCTTCCGTCCGAGCGTTCCGATTTTATCCCAAAAGCTCTCCTCCTTGTCCTCTTTCTTTGTGATCGGAGTTCGTGGTGACTTGGGCCGAGGAGACGCCATTATTGAGTATTATTATTGAGGCGCTCTCGTCTCTCGTATGTGAATATAGTATATCTAGGATATAATTCGTAATTCTTCCTTCCTCAGTACAGAATAATTTATAATAAATCCTGTATTATTTTACCTTTACACGAATTATGATCGCGATAAGAAAATTTTTCTTTTCCATTTTTCGAAAAAATTTTTTTTAAAGTTTAGAAAATTTAGAAAAGATATAAATAATGAAATAGTTCATCCCTTTAACGAACATTATAAAAGACATACAAATCCAAAAATTGATGAATTGTACATTTTTCAAAATATATTTAATTTTATACTCACATGCACATGCACACAATGCACGATTGCAGTAAAATATACCGCCAACTTTAGAACAATAAATGTAGTATATTTTAATTCAAAATCGGATAAAAATATGCGTTTTTGCATTTACGAACTTTTAAAAAGAGTATGTGGAATACTTGTCATGAATCATATCTTATACGTCGAATTTATAGTACACGGGGAACGTTCACAGATGTCTAGACATCTGTGGGAACGTCATTTCTTAAAATAAAACTGTATAGTAATATATGTGCAAGAACTATTTGTGTGCCATTATGAATGGGGACGCACATGAAACGACAATTTTATGCAAATCTTGCAGAATTGCGACGTGTTCTGTGTTCGCAATTATTTTTTTTTATAATGCACTTACGATTGATTTTCTATATTCTAAATTTTCCTTTATCCTAAATCAGCTGTTCCCCGAGCCCCGAATGCAGCCTTACTCCTACTTCTGACATTTACCACGTGACTGCACGTGACCATGTGAGATCGTAGAATGAGAAAGCGAATGAAAGACAACGATGTTTTTTTTCCGCTTACTTATTAAAGTTGAAATAAGAGATCTTAAAATAGAAGAAATCCTCTTCTAGTTTAGAATAGAGAAAATCGATTCTATACGCCTTTTCCTTTATCCTAAATCAGCTGTTCCCCGAGCCCCGAATGCAGCCTTACTCCTACTTCTGACATTTACCACGTGACTGCACGTGACCATGTGAGATCGTAGAATGAGAAAGCGAATGAAAGACAACGATGTTTTTTTCCCGCTTACTTATTAAAGTTGAAATAAGAGGAGATCTTAAAATAGAAGAAATCCTCTTCTAGTTTAGAATAGAGAAAATCGATTCTATACGCCTGTATCAGAGTAAACACATATATATACATGTCAACATAATTCAATTATATTTTCGAAATCGTAGACTATATGTCTATGTTTGAAATGTACTATTCTGTATCAGAGTGCCCCCCTTCCAGTTTATTCCTAAAATATATGAACTTTGAGAATATAAATAAACTAACCTGAAAAATTAATCAAGTCGAATATTTCTCTGATATCACGAATCCAAACTTCACGGGCGCTATTAGATAATCGTTCCGGCAATAGTGAACTTGATAATCGACTCGCACTAGCACTATACGAATTATGAGCTTTTGGTTTGATTTAGTGAAAAACGCATTTTTCAGAATGTTGCAATTGTTGTCGTTTGGTAAACGAAAGATATCGAATTCTTTGAGCATATATATTAAAACAAATACAGGGAGCACACTCTCTGTCGAATTAGATCCGAAATGGGATATCAAGAATTTGAAGGAAATTGTTGCTCCTCAGATGGGGATAGCGCCGGAAAACATTAAAATTATATTTGCAGGTAAAGAACTGCATAATTCAACTATAATAGAGGTGAGCTTGCTTGCGTATATACACATATACACACGGATAGTTTTGTACATTCATGTATCTAATTACAATATTGTAACATTATAGGAATGCGATTTAGGTCAACAAAGTATCTTGCATGCAGTACGAACGTCCCATAAAATGCTTGATAAAAAGAAGAATACCACAAATCTTATAGAAGAATCCATATCTGAAGCATCCGATTTGAATGACAGTGCTGGGAGCAAACCTATGAATGAGACGCTTATGGATTTACCTTTGGATGAGTCTGATCAAAATTTATCCCTAGAAGGTGGCAATGACATATTGATTTAACCAAATAATTTATTTAAATAACAATAAACATAAGAGATTAATTCGTTTCCTCTATATTATCATTGTTGACAGAGCAGCAAGAAAATCGAGCACATTTTTATGTATATTGTTCAGCGCCGTGTAAAAATGTGACAGCGGGTAAATTAAGGGTCAAATGTGCAAGATGTGATAGCGGTGCTGTCACTGTCGATAGAGATCCTCAATGCTGGCCAGATGTATTGCAACCAAGAAGGATAACTGTAAACTGCGAGAGTGATTTTTGTCCTGTAACCTCAAGTATGCTTAGGGAAGAGACAGAGTCTCAAGTTTCTTATGCACATTTTTATTTTAAATGCGCAAAACATCCTAGTCTAGGAGAAAACGACGAAGCCGTACCGCTATATCTCGTAAAGCCAAATTTAAGAAATATTCCTTGTTTGGCGTGCACAGATGTCAGGTACTTGACAGTATGATGACGTATAACAAATAATTTATAGAGCTTATTAATGCTAGTATATTATCTGCTGTAGAGAAACTGTATTAGTATTTCCATGCGAAGCTGGGCACGTAACTTGTCTCGACTGCTTTTGTGAATATTGTACGATACGTTTACATGAGCGACGATTTGAATTTGATGAGGAATATTATACTTTACCATGTCCCGCTGGATGTCCCAATTCTTTTATTCGTGAAGTGCATCATTTTCATCTTCTTGGCATAGAACAGGTCTGTAACAATAAACTATTCTCATATTTCAACTCGACTTTCTCCAATTTCTTAATTATGATATATTTTATATGTTATATATAGTACGAGAGATATCAGAGATTTAGTACGGAAGAACATGTTTTACGCGCTGGTGGTCTTTTGTGTCCAAGACCAGATTGTGGAATGGGTATTATACCACCTTCTATGGAAGATAATAGAGAGTGTCGCAGAATCCAGTGTATCGGTGGATGTGGTGTAAGTAACTCTCTTTAGGCAGAAAAAAAACTTCCTTTTTTGTAAAAATTTATCTTAATTGATAATTGTGTAAGCTGTGTCAGAAATAATGCATCTCTTCCCACGTGGTTATAATGTCTTATAATATAAATCCACAAATTTTATTTATATTTTCCTCAATTGTAATATTAAATAGCTTCTTTAATTATCAATATCTCATTATTTTGAAACTGCTGTTTTTCTACTTGATTATTAATTATATGACTATCACACACATTGATGAATTCATTGATAATCAGCTCATTGTCATGTGTAATTTTTTAATTTAATCTAATCATTTTTTTCAGTATGTTTTTTGTAGAATCTGTTTACAAGGATATCATGTAGGAGAATGTGAATCGCAAATGTCGGACGCATCTACAAGTGTCTTTTCTTCTAAACATTATTCAGTGGATCCTCTCAAAGCTAACCAAGTTGGTTTAAATTTGTACATCAAAAGCATGGCTTTTTTCTTAGAAATCAACTTGTATCTTTTTTTTAGGCTAAATGGGACGAAGCTAGTAAAAAGACAATACAAATATCTACGAAACCTTGTCCAAAATGCAGAACTCCTACTGAAAGAGATGGTACGTCCGAATTAGAATTTAACTTTTTGTTGAAATACATAACTGGACTTTGGATACAAATCTTATCCGATAAATTTATTCAAATGTGGCAAAATACATACAACACTCTTAAAACATTGTTTTAAAGGATATATAGATATTCTCTAGTTTTTTTTAAGGAATACATCTTGCTATTTTTCATATATTTACAAACATAAATCGTTTATTTACAGGTGGCTGCATGCATATGGTGTGCACAAGAGCAGGATGTGGTTACCACTGGTGCTGGATGTGTCAAACGGAATGGACTAGAGAATGTATGGGGAATCATTGGTTTGGATAATACGTTGGAAGAAAATTTTATGTCAGTTTAATCATAACACGTATGATAGCTGGAAAGTTATATATATATATATGAGCATTACGAAAAAAAAAAAAAAAAAATTCTGTTGGATAATAGGATATACTATATATTTTGCAATAAAAGTAATAAATAATAATATATATATATATTATCGCATTTTTTTAAATTTAAATACTGAATCGATTTGATATAGGTCTAGTTTGTTTGTACCGATATACTTTAATACGTACTAAGTATTACATTGACCAATCATAATCACTCCTTTAAAGAATTGAACGGCTGTGATTGAACAGTAAAGTAATTAGTACATATTAAAGTATATCGGTGTAAACTAGGACATAGATTATATTGATGCCAACTCAGTGCATTGGATACTGATGTATTGAAATTCAATTTAGTACTTAAAATTTCAGTTTTTACACTAAGTGCATAATCTAGTGGATTCATTACTCGGTTCTATTTCATCCAATCAGCGCAGCAAGTACCGCAACTATTAGACCGGATTCACACCTTGGCAGAAAAGCAGAAAATTGCTTTCAAATTAAAAAAAAAAAAAAGAAAAATAAAAAAAAAAAAAAAAAAAAAATTCTGTTGGATAATAGGATATACTATATATTTTGCAATAAAAGTAATAAATAATAATATATATATATATTATCGCATTTTTTTAAATTTAAATACTGAATCGATTTGATATAGGTCTAGTTTGTTTGTACCGATATACTTTAATACGTACTAAGTATTACATTGACCAATCATAATCACTCCTTTAAAGAATTGAACGGCTGTGATTGAACAGTAAAGTAATTAGTACATATTAAAGTATATCGGTGTAAACTAGGACATAGATTATATTGATGCCAACTCAGTGCATTGGATACTGATGTATTGAAATTCAATTTAGTACTTAAAATTTCAGTTTTTACACTAAGTGCATAATCTAGTGGATTCATTACTCGGTTCTATTTCATCCAATCAGCGCAGCAAGTACCGCAACTATTAGACCGGATTCACACCTTGGCAGAAAAGCAGAAAAGCAGAGGCCAATCAGAACTCGCGCTAAAAAAGCAGAATGTACTGCTTATTTTCAGCGCGAGTTCTGATTGGCTTCTGCTTTTCTAGCACGAGTTCTGATTGGCTTCTGCTTTTCTGCTTTCTGCTTTTCTGCCAAGGAGTGAATCCGGCCTTAGGGAGAATTCACACCTTGGCAGAAAAGCAGAAGCCAATCAGAATTCGTGCTAGAAAAGCAGAAGCCAATCAGAACTTGCGCTGATAGTAGTACATTCTGCTTTTCTAGCGCGAGTTCTGATTGGCCTCTGCTTTTCTGCCTTCTGCTTTTCTGCCAAGGTATGAATCCGGCCTTAGGCCGATATTACATTTGTTGTACGACAAACTTTTTAACCATGTTGATTGGCTGCAAAATAGAAATTTTCTTGAGTCTCTAGAAATTAGCTAATCAATGCGCTTAAAAAGTTTGTCGTACGACAAATGTAATATCGGCCTTAGGACTCAAAAGCGTCTCCAAATGGACGCCGCCATCTTACCCGGCAATTTGCCTTCGAGCGTGGGAAATTCAAATGAGTTTGACCACCGACGAGATACTATTAAAGACCGTCAGCCCTGAGTAAACTTTTGTGATCATCAAGTGGGCCCGGTGGGCCCGGAGGTAATTGAAGAATGTTGACATTACCGGCCGTTTGATTGGATCGAAGATAATTACACGAATTATTTAATTGGTACGGTTACTTTATTTCATCCAGTTATTATTTTATTATCGAAAACACCGACGAGATATCATTAGAGACCGATGGTCTTATAGGATTTAGCATATTACTGGAAAAAAACTCGCCATGCGGTACTCTAGATAAGTAAATCTTTGCATTGTCGATAATAAAACAATAAATTTACGATAAAATGTTTATTTTGTTGTTCTTGAGGCAGTTATATAAAAGATCTATACATTTTTGATAATAAAACAATAACTGGATGAACTAAAATAACGC